TTTTTTACAGACATTGAATTTTCCCTTTGATTTTTGCGCAAAGTGTAAAAATCAATTTTTCCGATTTTTCACCTCAAGATTGTAATTTTTTCCAGACAAATTGGACTCAAGATAAGCACTGAAGAATTATCTATCAAACCAAAAAATTTCATCGAAATCGGATGAAAACTGTAGGAACGCATAAACAACATCCGATCACACACACACACACACACACACACATACATACACACACACACACACATTTGAAGAATTATTCATGTAGATTAAAGAATTGTAATACAGTTTACTTAGTCTGCCTAAGTATTTTACCAATTACTCAATGAAGTTGGATTAATGCCTTTTCCAAGAACACCCCCGCAGACTCACCACCACACCCCCCATACTTCCCCAAACACTCCCCCATATACATATTGTGACGGGTGCCTACACAAAACATCGCCTTCATGTTATCACACCCTCGCCTTTATCTAGCCGCAATGGGCAAACTCTTGTAAATACAACAATCAGCAGCGGCTGGGACGAAATGAACCACGACGCAAAGGTTCGAATAATTTTGAGTAACGCTGATTGGACGACAGCAGCCAATCAAAAGTCGAAATTTGCAACAAAGATGAGCCCCCGTGAGGAAAAAAAATACGGGGAGTTGCAGAGATGAATTAAATGAAAGCAGACGTCGTCGCAGTCGACACATGAAAATATGATAGAACGAGAAATCTTAAATATGATGTATCCTGGCTCTAAATAAATATATCCCCCACCTGAGACAATTGAAAAAAAAAGGCTTATTTCGATTCCGTCCACCACATGCATCTCCAGAGTCGACGAATTCGAGAAGAGAAAATCTTCCATACGAAAACCACAGATGAATTCATGAATAGAATCAAGTGGAAGAAAATGAGAGCTTCCGGACAAGATCATAAGAGATGTGTTTGAAGACAGAAAGAAGGAAAGAAAGGGAAAATATGGTTTTGAATGAATTAAAACAAGAAAAAAAGGGGGAAAAGAAAAAGAACTCAAAAACACATAAGTTTGTTCATTCCCACCCCAGAGTTTTGGCTCTCCACTTCCGCCTACACCTTGTGGCTCAATAAGTTTCGTGCCACTGACAACTCACCCAGACCACGTTCTGCCATCCACTTATGTCAGTATTAAGGTTAGGGTTAGGGTTAGCCTAACCCTGACCCTAACCCTATATGAGGTATGTCACGCATTTCTTTCCCTTGTTTCTTTTCCCCTCTATTCAACCTGTGAGTATCAAATTCTCCAGTCACTCCTTTCTCATTACGCATCCCAGAAATTTAATCTGACTCTTCCTTATGTTAAATATAAGCTTCCTCCTTCCAAGATCACGCTCGCTTCATGATATCCTCAGCATCCTTCTGTAGAACCACATCTCCGCTACCTTGGGTCTCTTCTTCATCTTTGAGGAGACCGTCCAACATTCGCTGCCGTAAGGGAGGACTGATGTCACGTAGCAAGTCAGTACTCTTTTCTTTGTCACCAAAAACGTCCTCCTGTCTCGCAATACTCTGCTCAGCTTTTGGAATGCGTCCTTGGCCATCCCAATACGTATACGGTGCTCAGTGTCACACTTACCGTGCTCTGTCAAAACACTTACCAGATATTCAAACTTCCATACCTGCTTGATTTTAGTGTCCCCGACCTACAAATCTTGTTCTCCTTCGCTACCTTCTGTAGGAGGTTTTGTAGTTTCCTTTCTATGTCTGCTATCAGTACTGTGTCGTCTGCGTATCTTATGTTGGTAAGATTGTGGCCGCCAATGCTGAATCCCGGTAGGATCGCCAAACCTCTTAGAATTGCCTTGCTTTAGGTTGAATTCCGGTGAGAAGATACATCCTTGCCTTACGCCCTTTTCTATACATGAAGATATTAAAGCTATCATTGCGATATTTGTTTATTCAACATTGGTAGATGCTGTGATTATATTTTATAATGATCGTCTTTCAAAGTCTTGCTGCTTTATTTTTTGTTTTGTGTTATTATCAAAATCTTAATCTAATCATCGTGTTAAGTTGTTTCTAATGGCCGATCTGTTGAATTCCTTATTCACTCCACGCATCCGAAGAGGATTCCGGGGAGGATTTCTACTATATGCTTATATTATTATTTTTTTGTCTTTAATGTTGCGATATCGATGAAGAAATTCAAATGTGAATGTTTACAGACAAGGGAGGTAACCCTGACTTCTCTTCATCCTTAAATTCGAAACACTATATATCATTATTATACGGTCGAGTAAGCTCGGACATTCATAGGTCTATCACACCAACCATCACACATTGAGTGTTGGTGTTAATAAAATAGTGCTACTGGTGAGGGATATATATATATATATATATATATATATATATATATATTATATATATATTTCATTATTAAATAATATAGACAAGTGTTGTCTATTTATTTTATGTAAATTCTTTTCATAACGTCTGATGTTTAATAACATTATCATTAAACGAAGAAAGAAAATCACAATATTGATACGTATTTTTTAATCCAATCTAAGCTTTCGGCTTACATAAGCCATTATCAAAGTTGACAATTACTGTACAATATATTAAGCTATATATTAAGACAGTGATGATAGTCTGTTTCTGTTTACATGGATGATTTCCAAGCAACGATAAACACTTGCATATAATACACTGGAAGCGAAAACTGCACCGTAGCCCATGACGTCACACATGACCACGCGAGAGTGAATTCGAGAAGTATTAAGTATTGGAAGCCGTTGGTATAAACCAATGGCTTCTGTTACCAATTATAGACATTTAAGGATATTTTTGTTTATATATATTTTGTTTTTATATATATTATTATTTATATATATATATATATATATATATATATGTAAATCAATAGGTATGTAGGTAAATTATTTAAAACAGCAGTTTTATTTTATTATTTCATGATCTGAACGATACCCGTACTTGTTCATACGTTTATTTCATTAATAAATAATAATTATATATGCATTATATATAACTTTATAATATAATAATATAACTTATAATATAATATAATATAATATATTAATATAAGTTATAATATAGTATAATAATGTAACTTTTAATATAACTTATACAATATTAATTATATATGTTTTTATATATAACCATTTCGCCAACTAAATCTACTTTTTCACTATTCTTATTTCTTTACGTATTCAGTGTGTTAAGTGTTTTGCACTTATGTGTTTCTATAGGTAATAGTAATATTAGCCGTCTCTTTATAAGGAAATATTTGGCATTCATTGACTGAGCATCAAATACTACGGTCGCTTGAAATTTATGAAATATTGGCTAGTTAATCGGTGCGATAAAATAGTGTGTGTGTATCCAATGCATGTGTCGTGCGAATTATTATTATTATTAGAAAGACATTCTCCTAGTGGGCAAGCGAATTCATAGTAAAAATTTTGTAGCACTGATTTTGTGTTTTAAAATTGGTGGGGATCATGCAGGGATATTTTTCTTAACTTATAAGTGAGAATTATATTTATATATATATATATATATATATATATATATATATATATATATATATATATATATATATATATATGTATATAATTAGTTATTTAAAATATGATTCAACACGCTACATAAGAGTTCTTATGTTTCAAAAACAAGAGCCGAAAACTTCAATATAATTATCTGAATTAAATTGAAATAAAGTACTAAGCTCTATTTCATCTTCAAGCGAAATTTTTTTTGGAATAACTTATTTCTAAAATCTTTCCTATTTTCTATATATTTTTCACATATATATATATTTTTTTTCACATATATATATATTTTCGATATATTTTTCACACACACACACACACACACACACACACACACACACACACACACACACACACATATATATATATTTAGGCAACAACTCTTCATTTATACGTGTTTCATTAAAGAGGACAGACAAGGTACTGCGATTAAGCATTTTATTTCACTTTTCTTGTGTTCAAACAAGTGTTTTCTTTTCTGGACACTGAGCGCTTTCGGTTATAATTTTAGCCATTATCAAGGATGATTTTATTTTTGCTTTTTAATTGGGTGTATGGGTTGTTTATATGTTTCTAGAGTTATAGGGATGATTAAAAACATACACACAACCCATTAAATAAAAGGCCAAAACGCAGTACCTTGTCTCTCGTCTTTAATGAAACACACACACATATAGATATAAGTAATTCATTTATATCGTTTATTATACACTTTGAAAATGTCCACGTGCAGATTCAGTTCCTACCTTGGTAGCGTGGTTAGAACTTTAGCGTTACCACCGAGTCTCACCCTAGTCAGTTTCACAAGAAGGTGGTCCGTGGAAGTGACCCCAGAGTCTAGCGGCGTTGGGAGTTAACTGAAAACCATCCAACGGGTCACACCAAATATTGTCAGTGAACATTGTGAAGGAACGATACGGAAATAATCAATAGTTTCACGTCACCTTGAGCGCACTGCTCTTGCTCGACTCTAGGTCACAACAGATTTTGTGCGTTCTCTCAAAAACCGTAACTAAGGTCTGTTCGGCATCATTACAGTCTAAATCGCAGGCTAGTTCTGTGGCTTCTGAAGAAATACAAATGTGCCTGAGTGAATGTCTGTAAAAAAGATTTAGCTATCCACCCTAGCAGACAGGTTTACTCGGATACGAGCAGACGGTGATTTTGTTGTAACTTTTAACCAATTAATATTTACTCACATCATTATTTCTTTTTATTATGAAAGATGTATATAGTGAGTGGACATGTTTGAGGAGATATTACTGTTTTTATACTATAAAATAGATGCTTGCCAAATTATAAATCGTAAGTCTTAATAAAAAAAAACTTGAATCCCGACAGGAATCGAACCTGTATTCCAGATGTTTACTTCCAAAGGGCCCGACGAAACAAAGAGAAACAGAAAGAAAGCTTTAAGAAGTATATAGGAAAATTAAGAAATAATGTAAGAAGCCATTAAAATGTATTAAGAAAAGAAAGAAAGAAAGAAACCTTTACGAAGTGTATGGGAAAAGAAAGAAAGAAAGAAAGAAAGAAAGGAAGAAAGAAAGAAAGGAAGAAAGAAAGAAAGGAAGAAATAAATAAAAGAGAGCTTTAAGAAGTGTATGGAAAAATTAAGAAAGAAAGAAACCCTTAAAATGTATTAAGAAAAGAAAGAAAGAAAGAAACCTTTAAGAAGTGTATGGGAAAAGAAAGAAAGAAAGAAAGAAAGAAAGAAAGAAAGAAAAGAAAGAATACCTTAAAAAGTATTAAGAAAAACAGGAGAAAGAAAGAGAGCTTTAAGAAGTGTATGGAAAATTAAGAAAGAAAGAAACCTTTAAAATGTATTATGAAAAAAGAAAGAAAGAAAGAAAGAAAGAAAGAAAGAAAGAAATATCTAAGAAATGTATGGGGAAAGAAAGAAAAGCTTAAGAATTGTGGGAGGAAATTAAGAAAGAAAGAAAAAACTTAAAATGTATCTAGAAAAGAAAGAAAAAACCTTTAAAAAGTGTATGAAAAAATAAGAAAGAATCAAAGAAAGAAAGAAAGAAAGAAAGAAACCTTTACGAAGTGTATGGGAAAAGAAAGAAAGAAAGAAAGAAAGAAAGAAGCTTTTAAAATGTATTAAGAAAAGAAAGAAAGAAAGAAACCTTTACGAAGTGTATGGGAAAAGAAAGAAAGAAAGAAAGAAAGGAAGAAGCTTTTAAAATGTATTAAGAAAACGAGAAGAAAGAAAATCTTGTTAAAAATACAGTAAAAAAGTAAAAAAGAAATAAGCCATTATTAAAAATATTCATAAAAAAGAAAGGTATAAGCCTTTAATAAATTTATAAGGTAAGTAAAAAAGAAATAAGACCTTAACATGTGTTAAGAAAACAAGAAAGACGAAACGTTTAAAAAATCTATTCGAAAACTAACAAAGGAACATTTAAAACTGATTCATGGAGAACTTTGATTTCTGTTTTACTGTTCGATTCTATTAAAATTCTGCTATATTTTTTTATTAGCACGCAACCGTCTTGAAATAATTTCCATTTGATTTTTTACAAAACAAGTCAGATATTTTCTGGTCTATAGATTCCTGCAAGAAACACGTCCAATTTCCAAAGTCGTAATCAGCAATCTCTGAATTCTTATGACCAAATGTATCTCTGTTCCTCATACTTCACTTCCGCTTGGGGGTCAAATTCACTCGATTTGCCCGTAAGAGATAAGTCAAGCAGGCGAAACGGGCAATCGCCAGTAGTAAAAGGCAAACAATAGCGGACAAATCTAAGTGCACTGGGAATCATACGGACGGTTTTGCATAATCAGACGCTTGCATACAAATAGACACCCTCGAAAATCTATGGCAATATAAGCGAATAGACTTTGCAAGAGTCAAAGACTCAAACAGCATTAATACTATTCCTAGTAAACGTTAGTTCAAACAAACGCCATTTTCTGATATATTGTCACTATTTTGCTTAAATTTTGTATTGTTTTGATTTCGGATAAAACTTTGAAAATCTTCAAACATATTTCAGTGAAAGTTTTTCATCCAAAATATATTCAGGGTGTCCTTAAAGTCTGGAGACATAGGAAATTTCATTAACAATATTTGTATTTACTTGCACAGATTAAACTTTACTGATGCAAAAAGTCACAGCAATGTGCATGAAAATCATGAAATCAGATATCACGTTCTTGGTTAAGGCAGCTCAATAACACAAAATTATTTTAGGAAAAATAAGAAAGAAATATAAGGTTAAGAAATGCATGAGGAAACACGGAAGACAAAATTGCCCTTAAGAAATGTTTTAGGAAAAGAAAGAAAGAGAACTTTTTTTTTAAAGCGTTTCACCCCAAGCAAGGCGGGAAGCCACTAGGACGCGAGGGGTTACAGAGAATCGAAGTGAGACCAAATAGAAGTTATAGAGGAAAGGATGAAGAGAAGGATAGGGGAAAGGTCAAGGCATCTGGACACGTCTATTGACATTACATTTGAATAGTTAGAGATTATAGCTATCTGGGAAACAAGAAAAGGGGACGGATTTCCACAAGCGAGAAGTGCGAGACATGAAGCTATCGGAGTAGAAGAGACGGCTACATTTAACAGTTTCGACAGTGAAAGTGTAAGAGCGAGATGCCAGCCTAGTTGAACGCTTAAATTCATGAAGTCTGGAAACCAGCGAAAGCAGTTCATCGGAGCAGTTACCATGAAAGTATTTGTAAAAAAGACAGAGAGAGGCGACGGCACGTTGTATGAGAAAGAAAGAAGCCCTTAAAATGTATTAAGAAAGAAAGTAAAAAAGAAGCTCGTAAATTCATTAAAAAAGAAAGAAAGAAAGATAGACAGACAAGAAACGTTTAAAAAGTGTAAGGAAAAAAAAAGAAATCTTTAAGATTGGTTTTGTACTGGTACTTTTCAGTGGACGTGAGAGATAGAAATCATATTGAAGATGTTATTTGTTAATATTCCAATTCAATAAAACGACATTGAAAATTTCATTTCTTGAAAATATGCATTTTTGCTTATGTGTCCAGTGACACCACGCAGTTTATAATATATGTAAATAAAATAAGGAATCAGTTTAAATTGGCACCAGGATGTTATGGGTAAATCTTGTATAAGAAAGTATTGATTTAAACATGGTAACAACATACCACTGTTATATTCCTTGCATGTGTGTCAAATTATATATATATATATATATATATATATATATATATATATATATATATATATATATATATATATATATATATATAATCTGATAAATATTAGGTAGGTTGGTTTGCCTGACTCTTTAGGGTCATAAATTATATATATATATATATATGTAAAATAAAAAGACTTAAACACTAGTATTAGTGTTTAAGCCTTTTTATTATGTCCTACTCAATCCTGGACATTGAGTTCTACCTGGATTCTATCCTCTTGGAATTTTTTATTCAACAAATATATATGTATGTATGCACCTTTATATATATATTTATATATCTTCTTTATGTATGTGTATATTTACCACTAATATATATATATATATATATATATATATATATATATATATATATATATATATATATATATATAATGTGTGTATATATATATATATATATATATATATATATATATATATATATATATACAAGGACGAAAGTTTGGAGCACCCAGTGAAGATCGAACTCACTACTCTTGGACGGCTGGGGAGAGTTTTGTACGATTACAGTCGTATTTCCTGTTCGCGCAATGGATGCCAAATATTTCCTTATAAAGAGACGCCTAACATTACCATTACTATTACCCATAGAAACGCATAAGTTCAAACATTTAACTCACTGGATACGTAAAGTAAGAATAGTGGAAAAGTACATTTGGTTGGCAGCTAGGGAATTATTTCAAATCGATGTCTTTCTATGGCAAACACTTTTACAGAGAAAGGACATAAAGTTTAGGTGAATATGACTGAGACATTTATTATTATGTGGAATATTATTTATACCGTCACGTCCACATCCTTTCCTTTTTATTCTTCTTGTTTCGAAAGTCTATTGTGAAGAAAGTTCACTGAAGGCCTCAGGCCGAAATCATATAAACGACCATTGCTAAAGATGATTGAAAAATATACTAGACTCCTTCAGTCATGGTTTAAACACCTACTCGTCATCGTCACCGTCCTTCTTCTTCTTCTTCTTCTTCTTCTTCTTCTTCTTCTTCTTCTTCTTCTCTCCCTTCGTCGTCATATACATGAAATACCTTAGAAACTTCAGTTTTTTTACAGGATGATTTGCTACGGTAATATATATATATATATATATATATATATATATATATATATATATATATATATATATATATGTGTGTGTGTGTGTGTGTGTGTGTGTGAAAAATATATAGAAAATAGGAAAAGAACTCGTTAGGTAAATAATCCCAAGTTCTTTACTATTTTTGTTATTATTTTTAAAAATAGTGCTCGATAAAAGTAGAGCATAATATAATTATTTATTTAAAAATATGATTCCAGCACGCTACGAAATTTTTTTGGGATTCCAAAAAAAAATTCGCTTGAAGATGGAACAGAGCTTAGTACTTTAATTCAAATAATTATATTGAAGTTTTCGGCTCTTGTTTTGAAACATGAGAACTCTTATGTAGCGTGTTGGAATCATATTTTTAAATAAATAATTATATATATATATATATATATATATATATATATATATATAGGCTATAATGGATAAATTCCTCGTTTAAATTACGCAAAAATGAAAATAAAACTTACATCTCATTTTAACAGATATATCTAACAAAATTACACAAAAATATCTTGAAATACTAAAGAATAAATTTATTTAATAAAATCGCCATTGTCTTCAACGGCCTCCAGAGGACTTCGGAATCCTCCTGCAACTCTTTTGGACGATATCCTTGTTTAAGTTCGTGAATGCTACCATAATTCTTGCCTTCAGTTCATCATTTAATTTTGTTCGTCTCTCACTCAACTGGGCACCACACATAATAAACAAAGGTGTTGCAGTCTGCTGAGTTAGGTGACCAGATGTAAGGGGTGATGTGGTCGCAGAAATTGCCTGATAGCCATGACTGGATTCTTCTGCTTGTGTGGCATGATGCAGAGTCCTGTTGCTAGACATAGGGTCTTCTCTTGATCCAGAGCAGGACTGCTTCCTCAAGGCTCTTGAAGTAGGACTACGTGTTGAGTCTGAGGCCCTGTGGGAAGATGAATGGAGTCATAACGTCACCATCACTAGTGATCACTCCAAGCACCTTTGTAATCACTGTTAAACTCATTCAACTCTTTCCGAATCCTCTGAACTGTCCTGAATTTGCAGCGCGAATGCCAAGCAGTACGGCATGTTGTTCCAAATTTCTGGCGGAGTGAATTGCATCATGGCGCCCTTTTTTTCACAGACAGTGTCCAACTTATCCTACTATACTGTGCAGTCGACAAAATCAAAGCAAACAACGCGCATGCGCGAAATTTAGGCAGCAATTTTTCATTAATGCATGTTTCATTAAATAATGTAGACAAGTTTTGTTTATTTATTTTAAGTGATTTCCTTTCATATTGTTTGATAACCTTAATAACATTATCATTGGAAGACGAGAGGAAATCACCATATTGATACATGTTTAAATCCAATCTAAGCTTTCGGCTTACATAAGCTATTATCAAAAATGACAATTACATATCAATATATCAAACAACACACGGAAAAAACAATAACCAACGGTTTCCCATAATTAATACTTCTCGGTTTCACTCTTGCGTGGTCATGTGTGACGTCACGAGCTGCGACGCAATTTTCTCTTCCGCGTCTCGTATACACAAGTTTCTCGTTGCTTTGAAATTTTTCATGCAACAAAAGCTGACTATCATTATTGTTTGCATTTGGGGTCAAACTAATTTTTAATCTTACTAATGTAAAGAACCCTTCTCGACCATTTAGTAAAAAAGTTTACTCACCCTAAGGTATTCTATTGATAATTATAATTTTGGATATAAATGAGATTTAGGGAAAAACTCTAAGCAAAAAAAGTGACTCACTTATTTCCTGCAACTAGTAATCAATACAAACATAACCAAACAGTTTTAAATAAAGAATAATAGAGGTATAATTTATTTATAACAGGTAATATATTTCGAAATATTTAATAATCTATGGGTCCTCCTTTATTTTGGATAACCTTTTCAACCCTTTTTGGCATTGACTTTATTAGGTTCTGGCAAATCTCATCTCCAAGCATTGAATTCCATTCGGATATGAAATTCACAATCAAATCCTCTGTTGCTCAACTGCTTTCTCGAGAGCCTGTACTTTATAATGCTCCATAATTTTTCTATAGGGTTGAGATCAGGAGATTGGGGCGGCCATGTCATAACATTCACCTGCTTCTCATCAAAGTATTCCTTCATCAGTTTTGATTTGTGACAGGGAGCATTATCCTGCAAAAAAAATGAGCTTGGTGGGGTCGATTTTCACCCTTTCAGCAGAAGGGAGCAGACAAGACTCTAAAATTCTCTTGTACTGCTCGCTCCTGAGGGGTTTTCAATAGGTTTTAAGAAACCAGTTCCATGAAAAGAAAAGCATCCCCAGAACATTATACTGAACGGATGCTTGACAGTACTTACTGATAAATTCAAAGAGCTTTCAAAGTTTCTTTTCCGGATTTTAGATCGATTATCCATTGAATTTAGCTCAACTTTCGTTTCATCGGAGAAGAGAACTTAAAAAAAAAAAAAAAAAAAATCAGCTGAGTCACTTTTATCGAATATATATATATATATAT